CGGCCCCTGCCTGGGACAGCCCGGTCGCAGCCCCGGCTGGTGCTCATGGCCCTGGACGCCGGGGTCCCTCCAGGCTCCCTGACCCGGGGACCCACCACGGGGCTTCAGCCGCCTCTTGCCGCTGCACCGGGGTGTCCCCGCGGCGTGGGGGGAAGGGGTGACGGGAGCAGCCGGGCCCGGAGCGGTGGCACGGCGTCCCCAGCTGTACCCCGCACCTGATGATGACGCACTGGTTCTCCCCGTCGATCAGCATGTTGCGGTACATGTTGTCGCTCAGGGCGTAGATATGGGGGGGATTTTCATACTGAGCCTAAGCTGTACCCCGCACCTGATGATGACGCACTGGTTCTCCCCGTCGATCAGCATGTTGCGGTACATGTTGTCGCTCAGGGCGTAGATATGGGGGGGATTTTCATACTGAGCCTAAAAAGGGGGACAAGGACAGAGCAGCCATCAGCCCTCCGCCCTGAGCCCCCTCCCCAAACCCCCTTGGCTCTGCCCATGCACTGCACCAGGCAGGGGCAGGCAGGCAGCAGGGACGGGGAATGAGTCTCTTGCCACAAACCCGAGCTAATCAGCTGCAGGTCAGATGTTTTTTCGACTCCCCCCCTCCTCCCTGGGAAGCTGGCTGCGGCAGAGCTCGTCGCTCGGGCTCAATTTTACCATCTTTGGGTTGCTTTGGCGTGTATTTATGAGCTGAGTTTCCCAGGAATGTGGATTTGCTCCCGAGTCTCATGACTGACTCCCCACCCGTGTGTTTGGGAGCACTGACCCCTGCAGCACCCAAAGGGCTGGGGACACTCATGGGACCGTGCTGTGCAGCCGGCTCTGGGTGACCCCCCAAGTATTTCGCACCCAATTAAACCCGAGGAGCCCTCGGCCGACCCCGCCAGCCGGCACGCAGCAGCCTCACCGCTCCCTGGTACAGCTCGATCTCCAGGTCGGTGAAGTACGGCATCTGCTTGAAGGGGTTGACGGAGATGAGCACCGGCCCGATGTAGGTCTGCGTGGCAGGTTAAGGTCCGTGTGTCCTTCCCCACGTCCCCCCCTTCCCGCTGTCCCTCCCTGCCCCGCGAGCAATGGCAGGAAGGTGGCTGGGGGGGTCCCTGCCTCATGCTGGAAGTGGCACCAGGAATAACACGAGGGTTTTGAGCTCGGGTGCAGGCAGAGCTGCTGCCATGACCTGGTGCTCTCCCGGCCACGGGGCCCAGCGCTTTGCTCCCTCGACCCCGGGGCATCCGGCGCAGGGTACAGCAGGAGCATCCCCTCTGCTCCCTGGCCTCTGGCTGAGAATCGGCTCCAAAAGAGGCGGTTTTCCCAGCACCCTGCAGCCTCCTGGAATTCGCCCTCTGCTCAGCTGCTCGTGCTCCCTCTGCAGCTTTTGCCTCAATTTTATAACCAGGGAAACTGAGGCACGGGAAGCAGAGAAACCAGC